ACAACCTTGGGCTTCAAAAGCCCGCGTCCGGGTTGTGAGATGGACTTTAGATGACTTTAGCATGGCGAGGTGCCTCAACAAAGTTTGTCGACAATATGTTGGCCACGTAAACCCCTGCAGGAAACAAGCAATTCAAAATGCAGTTTGGCTACAGCAAGGCTGTCGGAAATGGACTTTGGAATGGGGGGATCGCACAAAGGCCAGACCCATCAGGACGCAACTGACTCCAACAAGCGTGCGAACCAGCAAAAACAACAGCCCGCTAAAACCTGATAAATGCGATGCCGGAGCTGTTGCAACAAAACCGACTTGTTTTTGCAAGCTCCGCCGGCCGGGAGGGCTATGACCAATTTTCTGGAAACCAGAACTTCTCTGCCTGCGGAGACAGCCTTAGACCCTGTTTCCCAAGCTACAGAACCCGCAAAGAGCCAGCCAAAGGATCCAAACTCGACAGAGAAAGAAACAACACCAGAGGTGGAAAAGCCAGGCTCGGGGATCCTCATGATTGAGGACAAAGCCAGAGCTGCAGACGAAGCCAAGCCAAATGACCCAAAGAAAGAAACAAAGGTGGACGAACCTGCAAAAGCAGCCCAACCAAGCGACCCAGGGAAAGAAACAAAGGTGGACCCTGTGGAACCTGAAGCGCCTGAGACCAGGAGAAGTCGGAGTTCAAAAGATGTCCCAGAAGACCAAGCCGACGAGGTTGCCTGCACAGTCCCACACAAAGAAAGACCTTGAAGGGCTGAGTGAAGGTGCTTGTTTTGTTTTTCTGATACATATTACATATGTTTTAAAACAATCGCAAGTGTTACTTTTTCTGGTTGGTTCATTCACGCCCCCTGCAGATCGAATCCTGGAGCTGTACCAATTGGGCTTGGTCCCTGCGTCTCTCATCAACACGTTCAATTGCAGAAAGATGGCCATGCGTTTGCGTCGGCGCTGTGTAAATGAGGGGTTGGAAACCAAGTGCCCTAACGTTGCGAGGTTATTTGCTTCGCCAATGGCTAGCCAGTGGAGAAGTCTTAGACAAGTGTGAGCTTTCCCTGGAGATGACAAAAGAGGTGGAGAATATGTACGAGCGTGAGGACCAGCTGCTTACCATCGAAGGTATGCGTAAGGCTGGGGTTACAGAGACACTAGACATGTATTGTGTGCATACATTTCTTTTCACCTTTTGCTGTTGATATGGATGTTTGTCGTAAAAGCAAATTTTGACAATTCCAAAACCCAAATGGCAACTAAGGAAGAAAATCCAGGCTGTGGTCAGCACCCGTCAGCCAATCCTGGGTCCAGAGTTTCCAGAAATTCGGGAAGAGGCACGATACCGAACTTCATGCAACAACGTACAAAGATCCAAGATGTCTTTGAAAGGGGAGGTACAAGTCAAACCAACAGGTGAGGTAGTGCAAGCTTTTGACCTCTGGGGACAATCTACCTAGTAAAGCCCTTCCTGGAGCAGTCAACATGACGGAAGTTCTGCCCAAGATTTCCGAGCCCCAGCTAACAGGGGCTTGGTTTTTGCATTTTTAAATAAGCAGTGTACAGTTCCAGTTTCTGAATACAATTTCTGAATTTCCAAGGTGTGGAAGATCCACTGCCCAAGGCCACGGGGCAAAAGAACGCAGGGGTGAAAAGCAAAGCAAAAGCCAACCCAAAGCCCCAAGAGCCACAGACTTGGGAAGAGCAAGTTTCTGCATGCTACGCCTTGAAGTTTAATCATTTAAATCAACCCATACAAAAATAGTAGAGCATATGTTTACACATTTCTTTGCAGGTAATGATTTGCAGTCTTCCTACAATGCGTGCTCGGTGGCTATGGAGTTCCCAAAAAGTCACAACCTCAAGAAGAACCTGAACATATCAAAAGCAGAATTGGCAACTTTGGTGGACAGTATCAAGGACTTTGATTTGGACGATGAGAACTTGGACGAGGGGAAGTTGGAAGCTACCATGGTTTTGGCGAAGCGGAAGGCCCTATATAGGTCAAAACGCATTTGTTATGATCATAGTTGTAGATTCTTTTTGCGCTGTCCTGTCAGATCAATTCCACCAAGATGACGATTGCGCAAGCGAAAGCTGTCATTCGTGAACTAGCAAAAACACTGCGGCTCCTTTACTAGAAAGGCTTCACATGTTTACGGAAAAACACTCATGCGGCCTAATTTGCTTTCCCGACCAAGGCTAATTATTTTGGATATGAGCCTTGATGGAGCCCTGACTCGGATAGCTACTAAGGATGCATACGGCAAACTATATGCGGGGTAAAGACCGCAGGGTGTAGCTCCACGGCAAAGAGCTTGGAAAAAAATACGAGCCATCAGCCATCTCAAAAAAGACCACTTGTAAATTAGCTTTTTGGATTTGCGTTGCTGTGGAGGCGGCCCGGTTCCAATACATATTCGTGAAGAGTTGGATCATTTGCCTCTTGAATTAGTTTATCGGCCGAAGTTTTCTAGGATTCTAATAGATATCTTTTTGTTGGTAAGCTAAGGCTAGCGGATAGCGGAATCTTTTTTGGAAAAGCTAAGGCTAGCGGACGCGTGGGCAATTGGAGCTGTCTATGGTTCTATTGGCTTTGGAACTTTTGGCATAACATTCAACTTTTTCATGACTCGGGACTTTTCACTCGAATTTTGGAAGTTTCCCCAATATGGTTTCACAATTATGACACGCTGCTTTTATTCAAGAGTTTGAGGACCGGGCGTGGCTATTCTGGGGAGCAGCGGTTGCGCAAGCGCCTTTCTCAAGCTGGGCTTTCTTTACCGTGCAAGGTCGAGGAAGTTGAAATTACCATTTGCGTTGAAGACGATGATGGGGAGGACAGAGTGGAGATTGTACAATGGCCAGTTCTGCTATCACATCTTTTTTGAAGCTCTTGCCAAAAAAGGCTTGTCTCATACTATGCTGGGTTCACGATCTGAGCATAACAAATACTGGACATCTATGAGCCGTGATTTTCCAAACCACCAAGTTGCAGATCCACAGTACTCAACACCACTGGTTCTGTATGGAGACGAAGCCACAGTATTTCGGCAGGCTTGCACGCGTTTTCGCTTTCACCCTCTACTCTGCGAGAACAAGACCAATGCAACGCTAAGTCGATACCTGATAGCGCTGGTACCCAATAAAAAAACTACTGGGTGGTTCTTGGTTCAAACGTTGAACATTTTTAGTTGTCAGGGCTGCATGTTTTGTTTTTTTGTGATCTGCGCAGCGTGTCTTTATCTGGAATTTGGTTGTGAGGTGAATGGAGGACTTTGCAAGCCCTACTATCGGAAGTTGTCCACTTGTTGAACCAGCTTTCCCGAGATGGTGTCTATGATCCAGTGACGGAAAAAACGTTCCAGTTCCGCGCGATGAGTGTGAGGGGGGACTGGAAGTTCCTCAAGCAGGCCTTCAACCTCACACGACACCCAGGTACTGAATATATTTGCTGGAGGTGTAGTGCGATCAAGGGAACTCGACCAAATGCAGCAGCTTTAAACTTTACAGACCTGTCCGCACGCGCAGCTTGGGTTGCTACCATTGGGGTAAGTGAGGCTCCCTTCAAAGATGCGCCAGCAATCACCCTGCTCGATTTTTTCAGTGAAGACAACAAATCAATAGATGTTTTGCATTTGGGAGTGGGAAGAGACATAATGCTGATGCTGATCCAACATTTTAAGTTGTTTTAATATACAAGATGTTTTCTTGCTTTCGGAACAACCTTTTTCTGTGCTGGTCGGGAAATTGAATTTTGCTGGAGACCTGCGTTCCTTGGAACTGAGGATTGGGAGTGTGGTGTCATTTCTGTGCCGCCAGGGCTACTTTGAGGGTATTTGGATCTGGTGGCCTCAAAAAAAAGAGCTAAAAAGAGCGAATGCTCAACTTCGGGCATGGTGCAAGCGTACGGGCTATCGTGTGGCGCTGAGACGATTGACAACAGTCAACCTAAATCTCAAAAAGGATTCCTACCCTGACCTTTGGTTCTAAGTTCAGCCGGTCGGTCTTGTGTTTGGGTTCTTGTTCAATTTTAGTGTTGAGGGGTTTGGATGTTCCTCGCTTTGGCGGACTAAGGAGCTGAGAGCTAAAGGCTACGACTGCGCAGTGCTGGGGATGTGGCTATGTGATGAGCTGGGAGGCTGTCCAGACTACTGCAATGATGTGTACAGTTTGGTGTGGGCAGCAATTTTTTTCTTTACTGTGCTGCATTCCAAAGACTTTTATCCCGACAAGAAGCGAGTCAAACTCGGGTTGTGGGTCAGTTCTGGTTGAAACTTTGGCTTACGTTTGCAAATGGTGAGCTGGGTCGATGGTGGCTACGCAAAGTTTCACCTACTCTTTCATTTTGCTTGCGCAGCTGATGATGGCAACAGCTTGCGTTCACCCATGTGCGATGGAATGTGGATGGACGAAGAGTGGATCATACGAATCGCTCGGATAATTCGAAAGACTCACAAAAAACCAATCCAAAGACGGCAATTTGCCAGTACCTTGTGCTTTTACACTTTTACAGCAAAAGCTGTTCAGGGCAAAGCAGTGTGAACGGGTGAGACGAGTGGGGAAAACATGACAGGCAAGGGCGCTGCGGTAGACAGTGTCGGGTTGTTTTGAACTCTGTGTGCGTGTTTTGTGTGGGGAGGCAGGGGTGTTTCTGGTTCACTTACCTAAGAGTGTCTTACAAGAGTGTTCCGCAAGAGTGTCCCATCCACAAATCCATTGTGTTTTGCTGCTAGTCGCATACGATTTCTGGTTCGCTTGCCAGGTCTTGAGCCGCAAATCCATTGTGGTTTGCTGCTAGTGGCATGCTATTTTCTGGCTCGCTTGCTAGGTCTTGGGCCACAAATCCATTGTGGTTTGCTGCTAGTGGCATGCTATTGACCAGGTCTTGGGCCACAAATTCATTGTGGTTTGCTGCTTACCGCAAGCTAATTCTGACGTCAAAAGTCAATTTGTCAAACATTTCTTTCAAAAAACATCATTTCGCGAAATCATAGCGGATGAGCAAATGCAAAAACATATTTATATAACAAATGCATCTCTAGGAATCTTCATTGCCGACTTTGGTCCTTGATATGCTCCCATTCTGGGAGTGGGAGGCCAGTGAAACTTCATGCTGGAACAACGCCGTAGCACGATGCACCAAAATCAAAACGTCAAAGAGCGTCGTCTCGAAAGGAAGAGATTGAGCTATTGAAACTGTGGACCTGGCGGACCTCAACCTCCGCGTCAACCCCCTCAGGCTGCTCTTCAAGCGCACCAGCTGCCCCAACTATCCTGGTGTCAGCATGCACCTGTGCAGGGACAGGGTCCTGAACAGGCCCTTTGAAACTATGTTTGTGGAATTGCGATTTCATGATTCCCATTTTAACTACCAAACCACCATCTGATGATATGAACGGTTTGCTGAAGAACAAGTCGAACTGAGAAGGTATGGGTACTCCTTTGGCAAAAGCAACTTGAACCTCACACCTCCTGGGCCTCCTCCTCCAACTCTTTTTGCAAAGACGGCCGAAGATACGTGATACTCCTCCTGGTCATTTGGCTCATCCGCTTAGCAGCAAGGCGGGCGGTAGCTCCAGCAGCGCTCTGACTGACAGGGCGAAGTTCGCAATCGTCAAACAGAATGTCCAAAGCCTGACCCACAATACGCAAATCATAGGCAGAGATTTCAAAGGACATTTTCCTTGGCAGCGATAGGCAATGTAAAAAGAACTGCAAGCTATGCAGAGGATAAGCTGCAATGCAGCTGCAAGTCTTTGATTTGGAAGTGCTACATACAGTGATGAGTTCTCTTTCACACGGACAAACAAACTGCCCAAACCAACTGGCACCGATCAACCAGTGGCCAAATCGCCCTTGCAAACGAATGAGAAAGCCTCAATAGTGAAACTATTCACACAACAATAGTGAAACATAATAGAAAGCCTCATACTGAAACTAAGGCGAATCTTCTTGAGGAGGAACTCCTTTTGCTTGTCCGTCTTTTGTGCCAAGCTCATTGTGACCAACTCAATGGCAGAGAGCACGTCGTTGGCATCCGGCAACGCCCCTAAGTTGACAATCTTTGGCTCCCTCCTTGCAGCAAAGCAGCGCTGCCATGCCAGGAGGGCCAAAGAGACAAACCAAACCTGGCCACGGATGCTCTGCTCATGTCTTGCAACCTATAGGCCTATCGCTGCCTCTGCATGGCTTGTCACCGACTATAATTCTCAGAGCGGCTTTCAGGAGCGGGCCGCAGGGGTGTGTTGACTAGATAAATGGCTTATGTATATGGTTCGGTTGGGGCGTCTTTAGCTCGCCCGCTGAAGAAACTAATTACTAGCGATGCTGGAAGGCCCTAGGACTAGAAGAGGGTCACAAAGCAAACCTTTGAGATTGCGACCCAGAAGCGCACGCAATGACGCCGATGCTTACGTAGTAAACACCAACTCCCACCAATTCTAGCACCACCAGGGAACGATTAGCATCTTCCAAATGCAATGAGATTGCAAGCAACATGAGGAAGAGGCTGGTTGCTGTTGCGTCGACGATGTTGAGAATGGGTGCTTTCCACGGCAAGAAATAGAGCTGCAAAGCAAAAGATATTTGCAACACAAAGAACATCATGGTGAGATTGATGCCTGGTGAATTGGTGGCAACCACAGCTGGGAACGATAGCAAAGGGCCCCGGATCAGAAGCGTCAAACCAAACCACCAGGTAGATGGTCGGTAGTTTGCCAAAAGAAAACCAATACCAACGAGTCGATGCGGAGTTGATCTAGACCACACAGGTGCTTGGTGGCATGCCCAAGCGCAAACGATAAAGTGGGTCATTGCCAAGAGGAGCACCACAGTGCCTCCAATTTGCATGGCCCAGTGCTCTGAACTGTTGCAAAACGTGTTTGGATACTTCAAAATACTGTGCGTACCGTTCGGGTGTAGAAAACACATGAAGGGCACCATGCCAATGTTGCACAGTGTAGTGAAGCCAGACTGCAAGAACTTCCCAGTGACGCAAATTGTTTTGTAGAAGTTCCACGACAAATCGCGGCGTTTCAAACTCGGAAGGAAGTGAGAGAGGGCACCCAACGTTGGCAAAGTCCCAGTAACTGCCAGAAATACACCCTCAGTGAATTGCAAAACGAACACCCTCTCCACTGCTCAAAGCTGCCAGCGATGTTTATAGCGGTTTTATTGGATTGTAAATGAATAAGGTTTGCAACAAATTGAGGCTGCTCCGTGCCTTTGTGCATGCTTCTTGCTACCGGCACCTAGGGTTGATTCATCCCGAGCATCTTACGTAGTAAAATAGTACGTTGCAAAGATGACTTTTAACAAACTGAGTGGTGCACACGGCCTTTTTCAAAGGGCTTCCAAATCCACGACCAACTTTCCCACAAGGATTTGGGGTCAGGGATTGGCCTTGGAACAAACCAAGGCCAAAAGTGCGTAAATCCTGTGCGCTCCAAACCCGGTTCACACCGCGTCTTTGTTGCTGCACAAAGATTCCTGGGGGTCATAAATAAATGAATCTGCGTACAACCCCTGGGTGGTGCGCTTCAGCAACTCAAACCAGCTGGTGGTGACTCAGTCCGTGCAGAAGTCGGTAGTCGTGGCTACTTTTGAAAACGGTTCCGTCAAGATTTTGCTGTTTTCCTTGCGGTGGCAAAAGTCCATTCGAATGCGTATTGGGTTTGTCATCTTGTTCAGGCTTGGCACTTCTCACATCAATCAAATGGAAAAAGGTTACCTGCCTGAGAGCAACTTTCCGACACAATTTCTCAAGGGTCGAGTGGATAGGGATTTTGAGGAATTGCTACACGTGAAAACAGAAGGGACAAGAATTACATTCGTCAATGAAAGTCAGCATAGGTGGCCGGTCTCAGGCGAAATGTGTTGAAAAACACATGTGCTGAAATGGAACTCCCTCCTTCTATCTCCTTCTCATTGCTTTCATTGGACCACCAAGGTCGCCTCAACACCTGATTTCTAATGATTTCTATCACTGCTTTCCAGCAAAGGGCGTTGTAAAAAATGAATTTCATTGGTTGAAACACGTTAGCTGTAAAAACATTTTGCAGCCTACAGCACGGCTTCTTACCCGCCTCCTTGCTTGGTCGTTCGAAAGTACTTGTAGCGGGTTTCCATGACAACGTCCCAATTTTTCTGGAATGGGGCCAAGCAACCGCACACAGAACGTATTGCTGCATGTCGCCATGCGAGGCGCAGTTGAAACCCATGGCCTTGAGATTGAGAACAAAAATCGAAGAAAACTCGAAGAGCACTCTCAACTCGCCAGGCCATGGAACTTGTACTGCACTGAGGATGCCCAAGTTTTGCACAAAGGCTAGCATCAAATCTGTCCCTATTGACATGCATTCCTTCACCGTGGCACGAGCCCTGTAGCGTGGGTCTGTGCCATAGTACGCGGCTATCATCAGTACAAAAGCCGCCACAATGGCCACAAACCAAGTGACCTGACACAGTCACATTCAAATAATTTGAAGCATGATTAAGAAACCGTGTGTCAAGTAATTACATCTCCAATTGTCTCAGTTTGTCCAATTTAACATTGAAACGCAAACGACACTATTGCTCCCAGGCCAAGAAACTTTCAGTGGTACTTCGCAAACAGTGCATTGGTCATTTGCCCAATACATTCCGGCCGCGCATTCCGAACAAGTAGGACCTAATCTGCCACCTTGGCAAGTACCTGGACGACCTCCTGGACAAAAGGGCTCAGGGCATTTGTAAATGCTGAGAGGTTCTTTTGACCAGCTGAAGTAACCCTCCAAGATTGCTGGGCCAGAAAACCCAGTCACATTCTGCCCAACCTGCAGCCCTTTGAGTGTGGCACCATCAGGGCATCGTATGCCTTCTGTGCACTCGACACATTCCTTGGAAACAGCAAACGTGCTTTGCCCAGCGTCATTTACGTCCATGGTTCCTTCCTTGCAAACACAATCCGATAACATGGTGACTCCCAAAAGCACTGTGGTGGTGCTGTTTGGACAGTCTTTGCACATCAGGGTTCCTTCTTGGTCTTGGTACTTACCTGCCTGGCACGGCGCACAGTTCTCAATCGATTGATAACCTTTCGATGTTCCCAAAGGGCAGGGCTCGCAAACCACAGCACCAGCCCCTCTTTGCTGCTGACCAGGTGGGCATGCCTCGCAAACGTAGGTAACACCCACGCTATCTACGATCTTCATAGAATAGGTGCCTGGAAGACACGCTCTGCAAGTGGTGGCTCCTGCTCGTAGAGTTGCAAAGCGGTCCTTTGTCTCGTCATAGAGCCCGAAACCTAGCGAACACGCTGTTTCAACCGGAATCCAAGGGCGCCACCGCTCTTCATTTGCCTTCAGCCAATTGCATGCTACTTTTTTCCGAGATAAACCGCTTCCCTTCTGTTCTGCCATCATGCTGTTCACTGCGTTGATGTCAAACGTCCCGCTTCCCAAAAGTTTCACAATGTCAGGAGCCAGAAATTCGAGATCATGGCTGATCAGCTTGGATGATGGAGTCTCTTCTCCAGCTGTGGTGTAGACTTGCCGTTCATTCCACTCATAGGCATTGTAGGGGGGGAAAACTAATTTGGTAGGATTGAGGTCCATGAAGGTTGCATCTGGCGTCCACCAGTAGATCAAGCCTGAGTGGTCATGAAACAGGCAGCGCGCAATCGCCAAACATTTTCTAAACAACCCAATACCTTGGACACGTGATGTTTTGGTGGTGTGCGATGGACGCTTCATTCGGCCGCTAGAGACCAGTGTTTCCAGACTGGTGATTTTTTGCATAAAAGTTTGTTTCAAAGCTGTGTCTTGTCGGGCGCGAAACCCAGGTGAGATTGCGTTTTGGATTTGTCGCGGGCAACCCTCCGCGGAGATCGCGCGTGTCGAGGGCGCGAAATGCAGAGGTCGTGCGTGTCGAGGGCGCGAAACGCAGGTGAGATTGCGTTTTGGCCCGGTCCGGCGCAACCCTCTGCGGAGATCGTGCGCGTTGGGGGCGCGAAACGCAGGCGAGATTGCATTTTGGATTTGGCGTGCGCAACCCTCTGCGGAGATCGTGCGTGTCGAGGGCGCGAAATGCAGCAGTCTCACCTGCGTTTTGTCTCTGTCCGGCGCAACCCTCTGTGGAGATCGTGCATGTTGAGGGCGCGAAATGCAGCAGTCTCACCTGCGTTTTGTCTCTGTCCGGCGCAACCCTCTGCGGAGATCGTGCGCGTCAACGGCGCGAAATGTAGGTGAGACTGCGTTTTGGCCCGGTCCGGCGCAACCCGCGCGTCGAGGTGAGATTGCGTTTTGTCTGGCCAGTTTGTGCAAATGTAGTGCGGGAAAGAGCCTTTCGGGGCTGGACTCAGAAATGGCCAGTTGGTAGTGCAAATGTAGTGCGCGAGAAAGAGCTTTTCGGAGCTGGACGCAGACCTGGCCAGTTTGTAGTGCAAATGCAGTGCGGGAAAGAGTTTTTTGTAGCTGGTCTCAGAGGTGGCCAGTTGGTAGTACAAATGTAGTGTGGGAAAGAGCCTTTCGGAGCTGGAATCAGAAGTGGCGAGTTTGTAGTACAAATGTAATAGGGAAACAGCCTTGCGGAGCTGGACTCAGAAGTGTTTGTTTCTAGTGTCATATGATTGCTTCTAGTGTGTGGGCAGACCGTGCGGCGAACTACGTTCGTCACGTCGCCGTGCCATGCGGATTTGCCAGGTCTTGGTGGGAAGTCAGTGCGTTTGCGTGGCGCCGTGCCACTGGGGAGCGCGAGACATGCTGGTGTAAACACGTCGTGTCGCTGGTGAGCGGGATGATTGGCGGTATCGTGTGATTAGTGTGTGGGCAGACCGTGTGGCGAAATTACGTCCGTGATGTCGCAGTGCCACGCGGATTTGCGTGGTCTTGGTGGAAAGTGCGTTTGCCTGGCGCCGTGCCACTGGGGAGCGCGAAACATGCTGGTGTAAACGCGGTGCGTCGCTGGTGAGCGGGATGATTGGCGGTATCGTGTGAGAGGATTGCTTGTAGTGTATGGGCAGACCGTGCGGCGAAATTATGTCCATGATGTCGCAGTGCCATGCGGATTTGCGCGGCCTTGGTGGGAAGTGCATTTGCGTGGCGCTGTGCCACTGGAGGGCGAAACGTGCTGGTGTAAACGCGGCGTGTCACTGGTCAGCGGGATGGTTGGCGGTATCGTGTGAGAGGATCGCTTGTAGTGTGTGGGCAGAACGTCCGTGATGTCGCAGTGCACGGCCTTGCTGGAAAGGGTGTTTGCGCGGCGTACCGGTTCCAGCCCCGCTCGAGATTCCGGGAGAAGCGGCGACAAGCACCAAGCAAGAAGCAGAAGCTTCTCTTTGCAGATGAGAAAACACTTGACGAGGCGAAGGCATTGCCATCCACGTCATTGCCATCTTAGGCCATCAGAAGACTCAAGCAAAAGGCCAAGATCAATTTGGTAAAGGTTGTAGGAGAAGACCTCTATCACGCCGATGAAGAGCTATCCACAGTTGCAGAAGAAGCTGATGAAGAAGACTGGGAGGAAGAAGGAGATGAAGAAGGAGAAGAGCATGATGAACTAAATGGCGCCGTAATGGAGAGCATGAACCAGAAGAAGACCTAGAAGAATGAATAGATCGTGTAGCTGATGAAGTTGAAGAGAAAAATTCCGAAAGATGCAAGCGCTAGCGGACCAGAAGGCAGCGCAGAAGGTATCAGTTTCCTGACTACACGTAGTGTGTACGATTGGAGAAAGAAGCCCTACCATCATGGGGATGGAACAACAAGCAAGAGGTGGAAGAGAAGATCAAGACTAGTTGCAGGAGAATTTGCTTTCGCTGAAGGAAAGAGAGATGGCATCTTTTCACTAGCGACTTCAGGTCGCGAAGGGTCAGTGAAGAGGAAGAAGCAAGAGAGGGAGAAGGAACATTTTCTCAAGTGCTAGGTTGTCTAGATGTGAAGGACGCATTCTTACAATTTCCGCACGAAAAGCCTTTAGGAGTGAGAATTCAATTACAAGTTCAGTGCTGCGTGTCCATGCCTAGGAAGACATGAGAAGGGTTTTTAAATTCACGCGGATGACTTGATTTTCACAAGTTGTTCAAAGTACACCAAAGAAATCTTTCTTCCAAAGATTCAAGACAGATTTGACACCAGCGTGACCCAGATTGAGAAAATTTGTGACGAATTCAACTTGCTGAGGAGAAAGTACAAACTTTATGGATCCAACCAGGCAACTACGTTCACCAGATGCTGAAGGCATATGAAGAACAAGTTGGAAATATCAATCTTCAACAACTACCCTCAGACAACTCAATTCAAATGGAAGACAAGTCAGAGATCTTGAATGATCAAGAGAAGATCAGCCTATTCAGAAGTATTGTTGGCGCAGGTATCTATCTTTGTCAAGAAAGATACAATGTCGAATCCAACAACTATGCCCTTTCAGCATTTTGAAAAAAGTTCCTAAGACTTTTGAAGAAGGCCATGGGCTATTTTCTATGAATTTCCAGAGGCAGGACAAGGCTATGTGAAGAAAGGTGAACATTGTTGGTGTCAAGAGACATTTTCAGACTCAGACTGGAGCGGAAACAAAAGCCATAGAAAGTCAACATCAGGAGGATTCCATGCGTTGAACAGTTGTCCATTGTCCAACAGCAGCAGAACACAGAAGACAGTTAATTAATCTTCATGTTGGAGAGGGTTGCGCGCAATGGTTTCCTCAGCTTCAGATGGCATATACATTGGTCCGGTTCTTGAGTTTGCGCTTGGGACAAAGGTGGCCCATTATATCTTCAAAGATTCTTCGAGCGCACACCAACTTGCGATGAAGACAGGAGTTTGAAAAGTGAGACATTTAGATGGAAAGTTGCTGTGGATTCAGAACAGCAAAGGCTTCGATGGTACAAGTACCAACAGACACCAGCATAGCAGACATCAACGCCAAGCCACTTGGAGGCCAAAGTATCAGATTTCTGATTAACCTTTTTGGTTCTTGGCACAATGGAGAAAAATCAAGAGTTGGTGAGCTTGAGAGAAAGGCGTATGAGGAGAAAAAGAACTTTGCGCGCAAGATCAACAAAATTGCCAAGATGATTGTCAGAAATTGAAATTTTTGAGGGCTTGCAGCCAATGGCTACAGAAGCCACTACCTTCACGAAAGAGATTGACCAGTTGGAAGTAGAAGACTCCAATAGAAACTCGAAAATCACAATCTTCACGATCATCATCGTTGGTTTTGCAGCAATGACCTTCGCAATGTGGAGACTATGGAAGTATGTGGAAGATCGAATGGAGGCGCAAAGAAATTTCTTGTAGAGAAGGTGAGTGAATGCGAGATCAGGGTGGTAGAGCGTACACTGACAAAGCTCTGATATGATCTCAGAAACAATCGCAGGAAACTACTTGGCAAGAAGGAGCTGAGAACCCTATGTGACAAGAGGACAATATCATGGACACTATGTGATGTTAGAGGCAGCGACAGTTCAAGAACATGTGCGGGCATAAACGTTCGCAGGGTGGAGAACAATTGCTCGCGGCGCTGCAAAACCATGGGAACCCAGTGGCGCAGTGGTATGCAAAACTTCTGTCGCGTACCTGCGGAAACAATCGAAACTTGCACTATTTTTCGCCCGGCGGCAAAAATTTTGCCGACAAACGGCCCCCGTTTCGGGGTCCAGAAACGGACCCCAAAACGGGGGCCAAGTTGTCCGGACACAAGCAAATCAAATTGAGACTGAACGAGTGGCCTCCATTTTGGGGTCCGTTTCTGGACACCAAAACGGGGGCCGTTTTGTCGGCAAAAATTTTGGTCGCCGGGCGAAAAACAGCAAGAGTTTTGATGGTTTCTGCAGGTACGCGACAGAAGTTGTCCATGCCGCTGCTTTTCCATGGTTTTGCAGCGCCACAGGCACTTGTTCTCCACACCCTAACATTTATGGCCACACATGTTCTTGAACTGGGGAGGCCCTCTGTGGCGGGACCGGTTTTTGCTAGGGTTTTTGGACCCCAAACTGGTGTCCAGAAAAATAACTTTTTTCGATCCCTTGAAGGAGCAAAAAGTTTGGAAAACCTGTGAGGGTTGAGAATTGCTGGGGAGAAGGCGTTTGGCCTGTATGATGTTCTTGATCGAAAGCAATCAAGCTTGTGGATCAATGGTCAGCTGCTTTTTTCGGCAGTCTGATTGCAGCCTTGCACGCTGGTGCATGTTTGTTTGCTACCAAGCTGACCAAGCTTGTGGTGGACATCCGCCGTGAGTCGACCTAGTGCCCTGAGACGAAACGTTGTGAACCAATTCTTCGTATTTTGTGGTCTGTCTTAATTTTGGATGAGAGGAAAGAAGGGTGGGGAGACGTTAAGCGAAGGTTTGGCGCCGTGGAGCCTGTCATGTTTGCGTACGTTTACAGGAGCCATCTCTGGTCGTTCACTATGGCAAGGAAACCTTGTTTCGCTTTATTTGACGTCGTTGTTTGATGCATGTTGTGAAGGATGGGGTTTTGAAAAGATATTGTTGAGGTTTTGAGCTCGCGTCCTTGATGTTTGTTGCAAGCTACGCCAGGCTTCCGCCCGGGTCCCGGTTCCATCTTAGCGTCAACGTTCAAATTTCCCCTGCAACGCACTATATAGGGCTTTTGCGGTTACAATCTGGGTTGGGTCGGACCGTCTATTATAG